GGCGGCTCCCTCCCTCCCGGCCGTGACCACCATCTTATTAGCACAGGAAATGACATGGAGAACGGAAGAGAGGGGCGTTCGGGGGCCGAGCCCGGGGACCCCCCGAACCGGGGGGAGGCGCCGCCGGCCCGCCCGGCCCGGCCCGGCCCGCTGAGGCTCTCCCGGGGCCGCGGCATTCCCGCTGTCCTTCCAAATACCCGCGGTGGGAAAAGAGGAAGGGAAAAAAAAAAAAAAAAACAAACCCCAAAAGCCGCATACAGCAAGGGGCGAAAAAAAAAACCCCGAACCACCAAAAACCAAACGCAAGAAGAAGCCGAGCAAGCCCAAACCGCCCGCGGTTCCCACCTCCTGCTCCGGAGCCTGCGAGTTCCGCGCGGAGCCGCCGGCGATCGGCGCCCGCGGCCGGCCGGGGGCTCGGGGGGGCTCTGGAGGACAAAACCCGCCCGGCCGGCCCGCGGGCACCGCGCGGGGGGAGCCACCGACCGAGGGGGCCCGTCCCGGCGGAGCCGCCGGGCTCCCCCCGGGCGCTGCCGCGGCCACCACCTGCCGCCGCCCGGCAGCCGCCGCGGCGCCCCGCCGAGCGGGACCCGGCCGCCCGCCCGCGCCCTCGGGGCCGCCCGCCGCCGGGACACGGCGGCCAGACCTGACCCCCGGCCGGGCCCCGGGGCTCCTCCGCCGGCGGGGGCCAGGGGCGGAGGTGGCCCGGGGCGGGCGGCTGTCCCCCCGGCAGCAGCCCGCGCCTGTGCCCGCCCGTCGGGAGCCTCATGCTCTTCCGCGGGAAAAAGTGAATGGGAAGCCGCGGTGTTTCCTCGGAGCTCGATCGTATTTCAGAGTACTCCCCACAAAAAGTAACCCACCCGACAGCAACAGTAACAGCAAACCCTACCCTCGAGCTCCGTGCAGAAATTGCGGGCAACATGACGGATGACAAGAAGTAGGCACAATTTAATAAACAGAGGAAGCATGTCTCACCAATAAAACAAATTCTAAATAAAACCATCTGCGAGCATTAAATTTGAAACAATGCAAACTCTTCAGCTCCTTTGCCAAAAGAGGCACAACGGGGGGTAAAGAGAGGAATGGATAAATAGCCATAATTTTCTAGTTCCTTCGGTTGACAATGGACTTGTATGCAAACAGGGCAGTGGTGACAATGTGCCGGCTTGGATTCTTGGAACTACTTCCCTTTTTCTGTAGCCCTGAGAAACACCGTTTTCTGCAGTCCTGAGAAATAAATTCTCACTTGATACTCTCCACCCTGAAGTGCCTACTATACAAAGTCGGTGTGAAGAAGAGAAAAACTGAGTGAGGACAAAAAGTAAAAAAGTATATAGCCCAAGCAAAATAGGGGCCTGCTTCTGCCATCCTTGAGCTGCTTCCGCTGGTCTCGCTGAGCATTGCGGGGTGGCAGAACTTCAGGGTTAGGTCTTGATGTGCCACTTAATTTAAATTGTCTGCCAAAACAACAAGGCAGGTAATCAGCTTGGGTTCAAAATAAGTTCTCTCCACAAAAGCAGCCTGTGTGGCACAGATGATTATTGGTAAGTTCAAATGAGTATCAGTCATCAGATCTCCAGCTGTAGTTTGCTTTTTGTTCCCCGTTTCTAACCTCTGGGGAGAGGATTCCTTCTCAGAGGAAAAGCGTGCGGTGTCATTTTACCCCTTCCAGTAATTGCAGATAGATGGACTTTGAGGCACTTGCACTTGCCTTGGAAAGACCATAAGCTGTCAGCACCTTCAAACTCCTCAGAAATATTAGAGATCCTAATAGAGCTGCCCTAGTTTGCAGTTTCTGTCTGTGTGCTGAAGTGTGTGAGAACACTCAACTGGCAGAAAGCGCAACAATGGGTTTGTAAATATGATTGATGAATGAACCAAGAGGAAAAATAATAATTAAAAAAACAATAAAAATCATGCGAGTAATACAAATGCACACTGAATGCCAGGCTAATTTGGAGTAATAGTTTAGTTGTAGCTACTGTAGTCAAAGGCTGCAAGAGGAGGCTCAAAGGGAGGCATAAAGCTTTTAATTGTAAAGAAAATTAAATATGTAAGTGCAATATAAATAACAGCTATTATGTCTTCCTGTAAACACAGGCATGCTAATTTATTGAGAGGGAGTTGCCTTGTTTTAATGTGTGCCAGTTCGCCTTTATATGTTTAATAGTCAGGTGTGTTTGGTTTGTGTGTCAAGGTTTGGATAGTGGGGAGGCTACACAGGGTGTAGCCCACCCCTACACAGGGGTGTCTCCTGTGAGAGGCTGCCAGAAACTTCCCCTATGTCTGACAAAGACAACTCCAGCCAGATCCAAGCCAGACTCGCTGCTAGCCAAGGCCAAACCCATCAGGTGGGAACACCCCTGTGATAACACATTTAAAAAGGGAAGGAAAAACTACAAGAGCAATTGGAGCCAGAGAGAGGAGTGAGAGTAGATGAGAGAAACAGCACTCCAGACACCATGCTCAGTTGAAGAAGGAAGGGAGGAGGTGCTCCAGCTGCCGCAGCAGAGATTCCCTGGTGGCCTGTGGAGAACACCATGGTGAGGCAAGGTTTGCCCCTTCAGCCCATGGTGGTCCATGGTGTAGCAGATATCTACTTTCGCCTCTGAAGGACCCCACACCAGAACGGGCTGGTGCTCAAATCAATCTGTGACCCTTTGGGAAGCCCACGCTGGAAACAGGCTCTTGGCAAGACCTGTGGAGAGAAGAACCCACACTGGAGCAGGTTTGCTTGACTTGAGACCCTGCGGGGCACCTGCACAAGAGCAGTTTGTGAAGAACTGGAGCCTGTGGGAGGGACCCCACACACACAGGAGCAAGGGGAGAACGTGGGGAGTACTCTCCCTAAGGAGGAAGAAGCGTAAGAGAAAATGTGTGATGAACTGACTGCAGCCCCCATTCCCTGTCCCCCTGCACTGCTGGAGGGGAGGAGTTAGAGAACTCAGGAGTAAAATTCAGCCCAGAAGAAGGGAGGGTTGGGGGAAGGTTTTTTAATATTTAGTTTTTATTTCCCATTGTGCTTCTCTGATTTGATTGGTAATAAGCTAATTTTCCCAAGTTGGGTCAGTTTTGCCCTTGATGGTAATTGGTGAGTCATCTTTCCTTGTCTTATTTCAACCCATGAGCTTTTAGTAGTTGTATTTTCTCTCCACTGTCTGGTTGAGGAGGGGAGTGATAGAACCGCTCTGGTGGACACCTGGTGTCCAGCCAAGGTCAACCCATCCCATCAGGAGATAAAATCCCCATGAAGAAGATTTTGTATCTTTTCTATCTAGAAACAAATTATGGAAGGAAATGCAAATTTGTACTCTCTCTGTAAAAATGATACATTTGGGTCTTGGAAAAGCTTCCCACCTTCAACAAACTTCCTCCTCACTTAATAAGAAGACATAGGATTAATTTATTTTAATCAGTACATTGAGCCCCCACTCCACCACACATAGCAATTCTCCTCTGCCTGACAGGCTCTCAGAATAAAACTTTAAAAATGACAACATCAGTTCAGAATGACTGTCTGATTAGGTGTTGACAGAGTGACTGTCTAATTAGGTGTTGACTTTACAGTGTTGTACTGTCAAATCTGTTCCTCCATGAAATGCTGGATATTCTCCTGCAGGCAAAAAGTTTCTTCTACTGACACTGAACTTTTAGCTAATGGCATAAAAAATAGTGCTTGCCGAAGTGGGTAAAACTGTATCAAGCTTGTCAAAAAAACACACTTAAATGGTCTTCAGAGCTCCAAATGCTGGTAACATACAGGTACATCTGTCAGCCGCAAAATCTGACCCCTGCACCAGAAGAGTCTGAATGTATTTTGTGGAATGAGCTTATCTAAAAACACCCAGTGTCTCAGGCACAACACTGCACAGAGGGTGGAAGTCAGGACTTGTGCTGGAGGTGGGGTGGTGGGGAATACCTGGCTGTCTTCAACAGTGTGCCTAAGGAAAGGTAGAAAAGGGTTTGGGTTCTTCTGCAAGCTGTAGCACACAGCAGCCTTGTATTACTGAGTAGTCTCTCATTTAAGGTTGTCAACATGATACGTAACCACATCAATACCAAGAGGCATCTGCTTCCCAAGCTTCGAGAAACTAGTTGCTTGGGGCCAAACTTCATCTTCCTCCAGGAAAGGTCAATCAGTTGCAAGCAGAAAGGAAAATCCTACTGCTATTACCCAGGCGACATTTCTCCGGCACACAGGAAAGATTTAAATTTGCAGGACCACAGTGCTGATGCTCTCAGTCAGTGTGTCGCTAGCTGTTAAACGTCTTTTAGCCTTAAAAATTCTGTTAATAAGCCACACCAAAATCAGGTACTTTTCCACATTCATTGGTTATTGGATAGTGAAGCAGAACACAAACTTTTCCCTTTGAAAATCTGAAAATGGCCCACAAAAGAAAAGGAAATTACATGACTGAGAAGGAAACTCGGCCAGAAGCCCATAGTTACAAATTACTGTAGCAGGGTGGGACAGGCTCTGAATGAGGTGCGGGGGAAGAGCTCTTTGAAGAGCACGTAGCTGTGCAGAGCTGCAGCTTGTGTTTTTATTTCTGCTGTACAATAGAAGCGGTGATGACCTTCACCCAGCAGTGCTGAGTGTTTTTCCTCATCATGCTATATGAGTCTTCCACTGTTATTGGTAGAAGAATATGAATTCATTAGCAATGCAGTGCTCTCCTTGAAGTTATGGGTTTCACTGGATTAAGCCTAATGAACAATTCTCCAAGGAGGCTGATGAATATTGCTGAGTTCAACTGGTAAGCAAGAAACTTCTGGGTGCAACCTTCTACCTTTTGCTCTCTTCTCCAGGCTTGGCAGTTGTACCACTGCCTGAAGGGCTGAGCCTGCCCATGCCATGGCCACAGCAGCTCTGGTGCTAACAAGGGAGCAGGAAAAGGCATTGTTAGGGACAGTGGGGAGGGAGGGATGAATCTGCCTGGGGTTTAGAATAGTGTATGGAGCCCTTCCTGGGAATGCTGTAGCACTGTACAGGCAGTTGAGGGTATGGTCTGATGGTAGCGATGCCATGATGCAACAGGAATAGCTAGAGCCACTCCAGTAGTCACTGTCCCTTGGGCTGCCCTTCTCAGCTGCACGCCTAACCCAGCAATTGCCAACATCAGCAAAAGAAGATGGTGGTGGGACCATGCTGTCAGGGGAGAGGAGAAAAGCCAGACCTTTCCCTTGGCAGCAATGAGCCAGGGAATCAGCCTTGGCATCTACACCTCCAAGGCAGTGGTGTCTTTAGGATTTCCTGCTCTGTGGTGGGTGGGTGCTGCTGTGGCCACCCAGTCCTCGCTGTGCTGACAAGGCTGTTCATAGGCCATGAGCTGAGGAAGAAAGCTGAACTGGGTTAAAAATAATCCACCGAAAAAAGGAAGAAAGCTGTTTAGTTATCGTAGTATTGGTCCATG